GTGTGTGTGTGTGTGTGTGTGTGTGTGTGTGTGTGTGTGTGTGTGTGTGTGTGTGTGTGTGTGTGTGTGTGTGTGTGTGTGTGTGTGTGTGTCTTTTGTCGTTCTATCACGAACGACTGTGAAACGTTCAGCAGATTAGTGACTAAGCACTGATGCCGCGTCAGTGATATTTTTAATCCCAACTCAGCAGTAAGAGGAAGAGAAGAAAGGGACGTAGAAGAAAAGAAGAAGGAGAAGTAGTAGTTGTAAAAGAGGAAGAGGAAGAGGAAGAAGGAGAAGAGAAGGAGGAGGAGGAGGAGAAGAAGAAGAAGAAGAAGAAGAAGAAGAAGAAGAAGAAGAAGAAGAAGAAGAAGAAGAAGAAGAAGAAGAAGAAGAAGAGGAGGAAAAAGAAGAAGAAGAAGAAGAAGAAGAAGAAGAGGAGGAGGAGGTGAAGGAGTAAGAATAAGAGGAAGAAATAGGAGATAAACAAAAATATAATATAAAGAAAGATACAGAAGGAGAGGAGGTAGAATAAAGAAGAAGAAAAGAAAGAAGTAGTAGTAGACGATAGACAGGAGGATCAGATAAATGAAGAAGAAGAAGATAAAGAAGAAAAAGAAATATGGAAAAGAAAACGAGGAGATGAAAAAATATATATAGAACAGGAGAATAGAAAAAAAAACAGAAGACAATTGAAAAGAAAGAAAGAAGGAGAGAACACTCAAATGCAAATGACCACACTATCACATAATTTCAGCGCGGATAAAAATAGAATCGACGTCAAGAAAAATATCCAGAGGCTACAAGGACATAGTTCATGTGTTCCGGCGCATAGGAAAGGTGACGTCATGACTCCGGCTTAGAACGGAGGAAGTCTTTTGCAGGGATCGAGACACGTTGTTTAGTACTGGATGCTGCGATCCGGACACGTTCCCATTGCTTATTACCGAACGTCAGCTTCAAAGATGTCTCATTAAATGTTTTATTTTTTTCGTATGTATCTTCGGGGGAGAGTTTTAGTTATATATTGATAATAACGTGCCTGGAAATAGGGAAAAAA